CGCTTGAGTTTTTTTTCCCCCACAGTTGTGTTTTCACACCTCACTAACAGACTGTGTTTCTCACTTACAGACTGTTAAAATATATTCTTGTCTGTCTCACACATTCTTCAGGAGACAAAAAGAGAGAAACCCACAGAGAGAGATTGTAACAATGACAAAATACTCTATATACTCATCATGTCAGAGGAGTTACTTCCTCTGAAAGGATGGGTCAGTGTTCGTTTAGTATTATTTATTTATTTAATGGTATTGTATTTATTAATATTTTGAATTATTTTTATATATATTTTCATTTTACATTTAAATTTATGGTTCAATCATTTTCTTACGTGCTTTTGTTCATTTCAGTTTTAAGTTTAATAAATGCATTACTTTAACTTAAATGTATTTAATTTAGTAGCTGAGGCAAACGTTCGTTTAGATTTTTTCAAATAATTTTTTTATTTTATTTTATTTTTTGCTTGTTTAGAAGTCCCTGTATGGTTCTCTTTCTGTAGTGAAATAAGTATTTCGTTAAATACTGTTTAACCCAATTCTTTTGAACTTTTCAGCAAATTGCAACTTACATTTCAGTGTGTATCTGAAGTTTATGTTGTTTTCTGTTTGTTTAGGAGTTTAGCAGATGCTGGTCACTATTGCATGGAAAAGAGCTGCATGAACATCCTGCTAAACATCTCCAGAAAACAAAGACAGTGCGGGTGAGTGAACAATGCCAGAGGTGTTCCTTTTACACATGCAAGTCAAACTCTCGTGTAGTGAACCATTGTATTCTTTTTTCCAAATAGTTTCTCATCTTTTAACTTTTTAAATTAAACTCTCAATTATAGATGAAAGGATAATGAGTGGAAAAAATCTCGAATGACAAAGAGCATTTCATCATTTCTGTCTGGCTCCTTCACACACACACACACACTCATGTCGTGTGAATATGATGCGGGCGGGAGCACGACCCCATGAATTGACATGCTGTGAATAACAGCTTCCTGTCTCCTAGAAACAGTGTGACGGTGAGCGCTGTCAGCATGCCGCTGTTCGCATTTCCCACTCAGTGTGTGTGTGTGTGTGTGTTCTGTCTGTATGACAGACTGAGATGAGGAAACAGCATCAGCCTTCAACATCACTTTAACTTAAACTGTCTCCAAGTATTTTTCACCCTTTCAAAATGCCGCTCATCACCGATTCACAGCCAGTGTTTGGAATATAGTGCAGTGCACAATATATACTGTATACTGACAATTTTTCTACTACTTTCTACTAAGTATGTGAAAAGGTTGTCAGTATATCAAAAGTAAAATTTACAAAACAAAACAGTAGTTTGCCACATTTTTGTTGTTTAAATCAGCGAGTGGCTTTAAATTATTAGATTTAAATACTTTAAGTATTTTTTTATTTTTATTGTATATTAAAATACATTAAAAATAATTATGAATAAATTAAAATAAAAAATAATAACAAAAATATAACTTCAGTATAACTTTAAAAATGTCAAGTTTTTATTATTATTTTATTATTAAATTATTTTATTTATAATATATTGAAATACATTGTTTTATTGTTGTTATTATTATTATTATTATTATATTAAAACAAATTATTTTATGTTTATATTTGTTTTATATGAATAAAATATTAGGTATTACTGAACATTTTATTTTATTATTTATATTTTACATTAAAAAAATAATAATAACAATAAGAATAGTTGTTGAAGTTTTTATAGATTAATTTAAAATATTTTATTTTAGGATTATTTTCTTTTGTATTAATTTTTATTTATTGATGATGATGATTATTATAAAACTCAAGTTTTTAATTCTGAGATTATAAATTGAAACCACTTTCTTAATTAAACATGCATAATGATGATGATATGTGGCAAGCAACTTTTTTGAAATGTTCATTGTTACATGCTATTATTATTGCTATTATTTTCACTGAATGTTTTGAATTTCAGTCAGAAATACTTCTAGCTCATGCATCACACAAGAGGTCGATTTGATCGCTTTGCATTGTGGGATGCAGTCTGTGTTCCAAAACATTCTTCATAAAACAAACATTTCCTGCTCTGAAATCTGATTGGATAAGCGGCATTCAGATCTGTCTGCATACTTGAGTGGCGCGGATTGTTGTGTGTGTGTGTGTGTGTGTGTGTGATTGTGAATGAAGGCTGACTGGAGCCAGAACCTCCTCTCTGTCTCTCCCACCCAGCAGCGCTGGAGCCCGAGCACCAAGGACGCGCGTCTGTTCCTCGCCACAATAGACTATTGAGAACATGAGACACAAACAGGCTGAGGACTGACGCCGTCACCGCTGGAACAGACAGACAGATGGACAGACGTAGAAAGGAGCATTTACATGAGCAGATATTTCATTTCTCTGTCCGCTCACCCACCGCATTCCTTTGTGTGGTCACTATTATCATCTCTCTCTCTCTGTCTCTTTGTCAGCTGCCAGATATTATTGTATTTCTTCAGGATCAGTTCTGGTCATATAAACGTCCTCAGTTTCTGTACTTGTGTGTCTGATGGTGTGAATGTGTAAACTGTCATTTGTCTGACAGAGAGAAATAATCCTGTGAGTTACCACATATAACTTAAACAGTTCTGTGCTGTTATTATTTTTCACCTCTCTGGGATACTTGATGCTGATTGGTTAATCACTGCATTCTGCAGTTAAATTTGTAATAAAATAATACGTAAAAATCATTTAAAATTATTAGAATAATTTTAAAAACATTATAATCATAATTTAAAATAATTAAATTATCAATATTTATGATTAATAAATAAACATTGGTGTTTTTATTATATTGCTGCGTACTTGGATTGTGTATTACAGTGATTTTACCAGTGATGTTTTAAGGGGATTCAGGCACCGAACACCTAACAACACAAACACGAACACAAACAACTATAATCGTGCTAAAATCACAGTAATGCATAGCCTTTCACGGTTTATTGCTTTTATAATGCATCTTTATGATGATGACATCGCATTTGGAGACGGTATTTTTTAATGTTTTTGAAAGAAGCCTTTTCTGCTCATCAAGGCTGCATTTATTTGATCAAAACAGTAAAACAAAAAAATGTGAAATATTATTACAATTTAAAACAAACATTTTCAATGTGAATATATTGTAAAATGTAATTTATTCCTGTGATCAAAGCTGAATTTTCAGCATCATTACTCCAGTCTTCAGTGTCACATGATCTTCAGAAATCATTCTAATATGCTGATTTGCTGCTCAACAAACATTTTGAAATTATTATTATTTTATTTATTTATTTTGGAAACCATAGTGCATTTTTTTCAGCATTCTGTGATGAATAAAAAGTTTAACAGAACAGCATTTATTTGAAATAGAAATCTTTATAAAACATTATAAATGTCTTCACTGTCACCTTTGATCAATTTAATGCATCCTCCTTGCTGAATAAAAGTATTAATTTCTTTCAAAAATAAAATATAATCTTACTGACTTCAAACTTTTGAACAGTATTTAAGACAGAAGCATAAAAATGGAAGTAATCTGAGTGACTTTATTGTCAATAATAATGATTACCATGGTAAAGAGGGTTGATTTCTCCTGTCAGAAGGTCATTGTAATGAAATACAGTAAATCATTGGCAGCCTGTATGCTGTATACAGTGCTTGTGATCATGCTATTGATTGCTCTGTTGATTAACTGATGTATTTCGGCTCAGTTCTGATTGACAGCGAGGCGGCAGTGATATGATGTTGGGTGTAATTGATATGATAATTCATCTCTTTCTCTCTCTCTCTCTCTCTCCATCTGCTAAACGCAGCTCTTCTGCATTGTCTCCTGCGGTCAAGTGTTGCCCCGTCGCTGAGGGTCAGGGGTCACGCGGGTCGAGTGAATCTGCCCCGCCACGTGAGCCAGACAAAGACGCATTCAACACACACACACACACACACACACACACACACACACACAACTAATCGCTCGCTCTCCTCTTTTGACATGCACATCCTCGTTCTCTTTTCATACAGTCTGTCTGTCTCTCTCTCTCTCTGTGATATTCTGGCTGACATTGCTGGCGTGGGCAAAGTCTTCCACTCTCATCTCTGGCAGAACAATCCTTTCAGTCCCCTACAGTGTGTGTGTGTGTGTGTGTGTGTGTGTGTGTGTGTGTGTGTGTGTGTGTGTGTGTGTGTGTGATCCTGAAATTCCTCTGAATTCCTCACATTGGTTAAATGCTTTCAATAGCCTGTTAAATGCAGAATGTATTTTTTCTGATTATTGTGACCCAAATATCTGAATTTAAGTCAAATAATTTTTACTTTATGTATCCACTGAAAAATGATTTTCTTACTCAGTAATTCAGTACAAATATCTAAACATTCTTAAATAAAGATACGTTTACTTGAGAAGCAAAATTAAATAAGGTAAGAAATCTTATTTTCTGAAAAATGTATCAAAATTAATTGAGTTTATGCTTAAAACAAGAAAAATATCTGCCAATGGGGTGAGAAAAATAATCTTGGTTTCCCTTTGAATTTCAGTTTACCACACTTGCAGATTTTTAATATTTTTTTGTATTAAGTATAAACTCAATTACTCACTGTAACATTAAAATAACTGTTTTCTGTAAAGATGCTTTGAAGCATTGAATATTGTGACAAGTGCTGCACATATAAAGTAACAAATAAAATTGAATTTATTTTTATTTATTTTTTTCAGAAAACAAGACATCTTAATATCCAAGACTAAATTTTATTTATTTATTTATTCATTCATTCATTTAGTTTCTCAAGTAAATGTATCTTGATTTAAGAATGTTTAGAGATTTGTACTGGAAAACAGGACAAAAATACAAAGATTATTATTATTATTATTATTATTTTAAATATTATTATTTTGTTACTTATTGTTTTTTATTTATTTATCTATCTATTTTTTAATTGTAGCACTTTATACAGTACAGTACAGATTGTTTCAAAGCAGCTTCACAGTAATAAACAGGAAAATAACAGTGTGAATATTAAGTCAGTTAATAATAATAATTACAAATTATTATTAAAATATTAATTCATAATTAATTGTAAGTCGCTTTGGATTCAACAATTTTAGCAGTAAAGCAGCTCCACAGAAGACAAAAGTGTGGTTATTCAGCTCAGTTCTGTTCAATGTTGTAAAGTTCATCAGCTATGAAAATGTCATTATTCAGCTCAAGTTTTGTTCTCATCTGAAAGTGTCAGTTCAGTCAAATCAATCATTTTATTTATGAACTGCCCCCTCCTCATTCACTGTCATTGTTTTGAAAAGAGTAGCATGGACATTTTATTAAACATCTTTTGTGTTCCACAGAACAAGAAAATGGGTTTGGAGTGACATGAGGGTGAGTAAATGACTGAATCTTAATTTTTCATCTCTTAGAGTCACATACATATTGCAAATGTTAGATTCTAGTCTGATATTTTGTGAAATAAATTCACTGTAAAGTGTTTGCATAAGTTGGCTCGTATAAAATCACAGCTCACATCAGAGAATCGTGAAAGGATTTGTTTGATTTTCTCACCTTGCGCTGTGAATACATGAACCGCTGTGCAGGTCACCAGATTGAATTTATCTGGCTCTCGCCTGCTGAACAGCGTGTGAAGGCCAAACTAAATAAGAAAGTGTGAAATCTTGAACACACAGTGCAGTATTAGTGAGAACTGATGTCTGAGAGAAACACGTCAACTCGCGAGTGTGTGTTTGCATTGAAATAATCTGAATAACCACTGAATAATGACCCAAATATGTCATCTCAGTAGCAAAAGTGGGTCAAAAGGTCTTTATACACTTTATCCACTTTTTAACAAACATATAAAGTATGTATGTGCATACATCTACTTTCCTGTAAAAAAAAAATAACTTTTTATGTTTGTACTTTCCTTTTTGGTTCTTAATGGAGTGAGTGTGAACATTCATGAGTGTTTCATGTAAATTAATGATTAAATGCGTGATATTCTATCTAGATGTTGAAATGACTTCAGAGACAATTATTAATACACCAAAAAGTGTAACACGTCATTGATCTGTTTGTTTCAGAATCACGACCAGCCCGTCACAGCAACACTGACTCAACCAATGGTGTGAGTTTGGGGGCGTGGCTAACTGTTTGACTGACCAATGACAGATGGGAAGAGTGTTGGTTAAGCTTATATGGTACAAAAATTACACACTTCAGCTTTAAAGCAAGGAAATTAAAGGTGAGTGTGTGTGTGTGTGTGTGTGTGTGTGTGTGTGTGTATTTCCCACTGTCTTCCACTCTGATTCAAGATTGCATTACTAACATAATTATTTGCCAAAGTTTGTCTAAGAGTGCAGTCAGAGATTGTGTGTGTGTGTGTGTGTGTGTGTGTGTGTGTGACTGACCAATGACAGATGGGAAGAGTGTTGGTTAAGCTTATATGGTACAAAAATTACACACTTCAGCTTTAAAGCAAGGAAATTAAAGGTGAGTGTGTGTGTGTGTGTGTGTGTGTGTATTTCCCACTGTCTTCCACTCTGATTCAAGATTGCATTACTAACATAATTATTTGCCAAAGTTTGTCTAAGAGTGCAGTCAGAGATTGTGTGTGTGTGTGTGTGTGTGTGTGTGTGTGTGTGTGTCTGTGTGTGTCTGTGTGTAAGAGAGATTCCAGACAGACCACCCCACTGCCTGGTTTTAGGGGGTCTGTGGTCTCATTGCTCATTTCCTTCTTTCGCAGCTTCTCACACACACACACACACGCACCGCAGAGTGTTTCTCACTGTGAAGCATCAGCAGCTCATGTTATGTTGGCCGTCACCATGGCAGCGTCATATTCCTCAAACCAGGAGCCCCAGTGAGCTGCAGCGGCCCCAAAAACTGTCCAGACACTCCACTCCACACTTATAAATATATGAATATATTTGGATTAAATAACAGAACATAAAACTACCTGTCATTTATTGTAAAGTGACACAACGCTAGCACACTTTCCGAGCAAAACATTTCACAGAAAGGTGTTTGTTTGGTTTACTAATATTTGGTCTTGTACTTTTGTAATTTTCCCTCCAAAACGATGTAATTTCCTGGTGGATGATGTCATTAAGGATCTGTCTTGTATCAATTATAATGTTACAAAAGGTTTCTATTTCAAATAAATGCTGTTCTTTTGAACATTTGAACATTTATTCTATGCACAATGCACAACTGTTTTCAACATTGATAATAATCAGAAATGTTTCTTGAGCATCAAATCAGCAATGATTTCTG